GACCTCACTTTGGGGGGGTTAGGTCCTCATTAATATGAAAGACAGATTGGCCATTGGGAGTTTCTGCAGGAGACTGAGTGTATTCCCCAGACTGGTGCGGTCTAACACTTGCACTGCTGCCATATACAGACATGTTATATTCCGGGCTGAACAGAAAGGCTGAGTTGACCTCACTTTGGGGGGGGGGGGGGGGGGGGAGACTGCGTGTCAGGTCCTCATTAATATGACAGACAGATTGGCCATTGGGAGTTCCTGCAGGAGACTGCGTGTATTCCCCAGACTGGTGCGGTCTAACACTTGCACTGCTTCCATATAATTCCGGGCTGACAGACATGTTATATTCCGGGCTGAACAGAGAGGCTGAGTTGACCTCACTTTGGGGGGGGGGGGGGGGGGGGGGGGGGGGGGGTCAGGTCCTCGTTAATATGACAGACAGATTGGCCATTGGGAGTTTGCGGTCTGCAGGAGACTGAGTTATATTCCCCAGAGACTGATGCGGTCCTAACACTTGCACTGCTTCCATATACAGACATATACAGTTTATATTCCGGGCTGAGCCTGCAGGTTCCTTCTGGCGAGCTGTCAGGCTTCAGTGACGAGGAGATAAATTGCTGGTTTTTCATCATTCTGCAGCCGGAATGGGAATTCCCAGTCCTTGTCCTGAGAATGTGCGGCACAGAGGTATCCCACGGGTGGGGCCCCGCCACCATCCCACCCTGTTCTCTCCTTCTAGGACAAGGCCATAGGCAGCTTCTCATCGATGAGCTCATCCAGCCTGGAAGGGCGCCCAGATGCCGTGTGTTAGAACATGCTCAGGTGTCGTTCTCACACACATCGGCTTGGAAGTTCCCGGCCGCAGGGGGGCAGCACCGGAGCACCTCGCAGGTTCTCATGGAGCCTTCATTCCTGAGATGTTTTCTCGAATCTTCCCTGCAGTCCCATGCCTTGTCTTCCTCCCACGATTCCCGCAGCTTGCTGGGGTCTGCGGTCACTTATTCATAAGAATAGAAGATCCCGATCACCAGGAAGGAGAGTGTGGGGAATTCTTCCCCCATAGGATGGAGTCTCCAGGAAGTGGCGTATCCTGTCCCCCGGAGCAGATGTCATCCTACACACTGAACTGGGATTGTGTGGTGTGAAGAATGAATGGGTTTCATGTGTTTTCATGCCGGGCCTGGTACTGTGTGGGGTCAGGAGGGGGGGGGGGGGGGGGCGTTGTGGAGTTGGAGAACTCATGGATTGTATGGGGGCCCAATGGGAACCCTCTGGGGCCAGTGACTCCAGATCTGCCTGTGTGTGAGGGGGGGGGGGGCATTCACCGCCCTCCCTGAGATTGCCCCCCCCCGACAATTGTTCACACTCGCCTCTTCCCACGCTGGCAGCAGGATTGGAAATCAGAGCTGCAGATATTTCCTCCCTCTATAATCATCCCAGGATGTTCTCAGTGCTGCTCACATTCAGATTGTCTGCACTTCCTTACACCCGTGACACCTGTCCTGTACCCCGGGGGGGCGTTGTAGTGTCTGCATGAACTGAGCAGACCCCCAGCGTCTTGTCCCATAGGCCCGATATTACAGAGGAGAGCTCTGCAATGTATACATACAATACATGTACATGTCGGTGCCCAACAGTCCCGTGGGAAGCTGGCAGGAATTTTTCCCATTGATTGCTGGCGTCAGGGAGGTCCATGGTGATTCTGTGCGGATTCCCAGGAGTCTGTGCTGCAGCCAAGGAATGTCTGGAGGCTTTTCTCCCTCCCTGAGGCCTAGCTAAGGCAAAATGTTCTACATATACACCCATCAGCCAGAACATTATGACCACTGACAGGTAAAGTGAAGAACATTGATTATATGGTTACAGTGACACCTGAAAGTGGGCGGGATTAATTGTACAGAGTGACATCACCACCCTCCAGATATAAGATATACTGAGTGACATCACTGCTCTCCAGCTATGATGTATTATACGGGAGTGACATCACTGCTCTCCAGCTATAAGATATATTATACAGAGTGACATCACTGCTCTCCAGCTATAAGATATATTATACAGAGTGACATCACTGCTCTCCAGATATGATGTATTATACGGGAGTGACATCACTGCTCTCCAGATATGATGTATTATACGGGAGTGACATCACCGCTCTCCAGCTATGATGTATTATACGGGAGTGACATCACCGCTCTCCAGCTATGATGTATTATACGGGAGAGATGACATCACCGCTCTCCAGATATGATGTATTATACGGGAGTGACATCACCGCTCTCCAGATATGATGTATTATACGGGAGTGACATCACCGCTCTCCAGCTATGATGTATTATACGGGAGTGACATCACTGCTCTCCAGCTATAAGATATATTATACAGAGTGACATCACCGCCCTCCAGATATAAGATATATTATACAGGAGTGACATCACCGCCCTCCAGATATAAGATATATTATACAGGAGTGACATCACCGCCCTCCAGATATAAGATATATTATACAGAGTGACATCACCGCCCTCCAGATATAAGATATATTATACAGGAGTGACATCACCGCCCTCCAGATATAAGATATATTATACAGAGTGACATCACCGCCTTCCAGATATAAGATATATTCTATGGGTGTGACATCACCGCATCTCCAGATATATTGTATGGGAGTGACATCACCGCTCTCCAGATATATTGTACGAGAGTGACATCACCGCCCTCCAGATATACACTGATCAGCCATAACATTATGACACATACAGGTGAAGTGAAGCACATCAATTATCTGCTGACAATGGCCCCTGTAGGTGGCGGCAGGGTCCCGGGCAGGCTGCACCTCCCAACTTAAAGGATCTGCAAGTGAAGTCTTGGTGCCGATACCACAGCGTACCTTCAGAGGTCTAGTGGAGTCCATGCCTAGGTGGGTTATGGTGCGTGGTCAGAATGTCATGGGCCTGACCGATGTATTGAGTCCAATACACTCCCTCGGCCTCAGAGATTCTGCTCTCTCCTGGCTCTCATCTACCTGTCACAATGCTCTTTCAGCGTTACCTATAATGCTACCACCTCCCCCTCACTCCCCCTCTCTGTTGGGGTCCCTCAAGGCTCTGTCCTCGGGCCCCTTCTCTTCTCCATCTATACCTCCTCCCTTGGCCAACTCATACACTCTCACGGCTTCAACTACCACCTCTATGCCGACGACACACAAATCTATCTCTCAACCCCCCACCTCACCCCCTCGGTCTCTGCCCGAATCACACACCTACTGAGCGACATATCAGATTGGATGTCGCTCCACTTCCTTAAACTGAATCTCTCCAAATACCAGTGATCCTTGTCTTCCCCCCAGCCCGAAACCCCACCCGCCCGAACCCCCCATTGACTTCTACATCACATCCAACAACGCCAATATCAAACCCGCTCTGCAGGCCAGAGTACTTGGTGTCATTCTGGACTCCAAAGACCTATCCTTACCAGCCCCAAGTCCAATCTTTAACAAATAAACTCGTGCAGGACTCCACCTCCAGCAACATGCAGACTCCGCCTCCGCAACATGCAGACTCCACTCCGCAACATGCAGACTCCGCCTCCGCAACATGCAGGACTCCGCTCCGCAAAACATCGCCAAAATCCGCACGTTCCTATCCCCAGAACACCACTTAAACAGCTCATCCACTCCCTCATCATATCACGACTAAGCCTTGACTACTGCAACTCCCTCCTCATGGCCTGCCTCACCATTTATACAGGCTATCCCCGCTGCAGTCAATCCTGAATACGGCTGCCAGACTCATTCACCTTTTCCTAAACCGCTCCGTTTCCGCCACCCCCCTCTGCCTAATCCCTCCACTGGCTTCCACTCAGTGTCTCCACCCCCCTCTGCCAATCCCTCCACTGGCTTCCACTCAGTGTCCTCCACACCCCCTCTGCCAATCCCATCCACTGGCTTTCCACTCAGTGTCCTCCCTCCACCCCTCTGCCAATTCCTCTCCACTGGCTTCCGATTTGCGCAACGGATCAAATTTTAAAATCCCTAACACTGACATACAAAGCCTGTCCATCATACAAATGCACCCCAACTACATCACTGACCTAATATCCAAGTACCACCCAACACGCACACTCTCTCCTCACAAGACCTCCTTCTCTTCTAGTTCCCTGGTCTCCTCCTCCCATGGGCCCGCCTCCAGGACTTTATTCTGCAGGAGTGTCACACCCTATCCTCTGGAAACACTCCCATGCCCCAACCCATCAGATTATCACCTACCTCCTCTCCTTTAGGCGCCACCCTGAAACCCCCATCTCTTCATGGAAGCCTACCCACCCCCTGCTAACTTGCGTGACCCTCCTCCACTCTTCCTACCACTCCATCCCCCACAGCTATCTCCCCTCCTGTGCCCACCATCCCCTCCCTCCTAGATTGTAAGCTCGAAAGAGCAGGCCCCCCTCGATCCCCTCCATGTATCACTTTGTATTGGGATATTGTTCTGTCACATGTTCTGTCCCCCTCTGTAATGTTACTCAGCTGAGCCAACTATTGGCGCTTTATAAATACTGTATAATAATAATAATAAAATCCTTTGTGGAGGTGATGACATTGGCCATGTTGGATGACGTGACACGGATTATGTAATTGCTTCACTCCTCTATAAAAAGACTAAAGGAGTACTCCGCTAAGAACGATTTACATTTCAGCTGACAACACTTTTTCAGGAAAACTCCCACTCCCGTGTATCATAGCATTCATACATTGTGGGGGGGAAATAGATGGGTTTCAGCAGAGTGGGTGGTCACAGACACGGCACAAACCAGCCCCCCCAATCTGATTTAATAATGAATGGCGTCTGGGTTGGCCCTCCAGCCTGAGACACAATGTGCAATCGGTCATACATGGAAAGATCTAAACAATTGCAGATTGGAGTGTATAAAGTGTTTAGCCAGAGTTAAGTAGTAATGTATTTGCAGCAGTCTATAATGTTGTGTGTTTTTTTTTTTTCCCCTGGTAGGTTCCTACCCCTCCCCCAAGGCAGGGGCCACCCTGGTTGTCTATAAGGAGCTGCTGGTTCTCTTTGGTGGTTGGACTCGCCCCAGCCCATACCCATTACATCAGCCAGAGCGATTTTTTGATGAGATCCACACGTACTCTCCCCCTCCAAGAACTGGTAATGCAGATATTGTGTATACTGTGGCTGTGTGTTGTAGTCTTCCATTTATTTAGTACACAGGGAGCAGACAACTTGGCTTCCTTTCCGGCTCCTCCCCTCCCGTCTGGCACAGGTGTCCCGGCTCCTCCTGTCCCGTCTGGCACAGGTGTGCCGGCTCCTCCTCTCCCATCCACAGGTGTGCCGGCTCCTCCCCTCCGGTCTGGCACAGGTGTGCTGGCTCCTCCCTCCGGTCTGGCACAGGTGTGCCGGCTCCTCCCCTCCGGTCTGGGCACAGGTGTGCCGGCTCCTCCCCTCCGGTCTGGCACAGGTGTGCCGGCTCCTCCCCTCGGTCTGGCACAGGTGTGCCGGCTCCTCCCCTCCGGTCTGGCACAGGTGGGCCGGCTCCTCCCCTCCGGTCTGGCACAGGTGGGCCGGCTCCTCCCCTCCGGTCTGGCACAGGTGGGCCGGCTCCTCCCCTCCGGTCTGGCACAGGTGGGCCGGCTCCTCCCCTCCGGTCTGGCACAGGTGGGCCGGCTCCTCCCCTCCGGTCTGGCACAGGTGGGCCGGCTCCTCCCCTCCGGTCTGGCACAGGTGGGCCGGCTCCTCCCCTCCGGTCTGGCACAGGTGGGCCGGCTCCTCCCCTCCGGTCTGGCACAGGTGGGCCGGCTCCTCCCCTCGGTCTGGCACAGGTGGGCCGGCCTCCCCTCCGGTCTGGCACAGGTGGGCCGGCTCCTCCCCTCCGGTCTGGCACAGGTGGGCCGGCTCCTCCCCTCCGGTCTGGCACAGGTGGGCCGGCTCCTCCCCTAGACTAAAACAGCTTACTCTGATTTCTCTGCACACTGTGAGCTTCTCACAATGCGCATTCGAAGCTGCAAGTCCAATAGAGCTCCGCCTCATTTCTTGGCTGGAGGACGTGTAGCATCATCCAGTTCTTTCCTCCCCAGCCTGACTGTCCTTGGACCCACCCCTTTCATTCATTGGTTTTCAGTTCTTTCAATCATGGAGGGTCTGCATCACATGTGGGTGTTGCCTATGCACATACAGGCTGCCTAGGAACACCCACTCATCAGACTGTCGCCCTCCCATCAAGGCATTTGATGTTTGCATATCTCCTCCCAGGAGTCACCCCACTGAGAGGAGTATTGAGGCAGGGTGCTGTAATGTTTTCAGGAAGCTATGTACAGCACCCTCCCACCAGCCATGATCTTCCTGCATTGCATAGAGAAGCAGAGACTCCCAGTGATGACAGCACTGGCTCTGAAATAAGGTATGTAAAGAAAACCGGATTTATATGCAAGTTGATGAAGAGGCCGGTAGATAATTTAGCTTTAGGCTCCTCGGAGTTTCCCAAATGCCTCTCCCTGTTTTTTAGGACTTTCCATTCACTGCTTAGCACTTTCTGCCTTGAAACCTTCTAGGATTACCTACCTTCTGTCAAACCTATAATCTGAGCCAATATATTTTCTCTGATCACTGATCCAGTCCTACTTCCTCCTCCAATATCTGCCAAGACACACACTGCTTCCTCCTCCACTCCCTGATGGTGCGGTTGCTCCTCCTTTGTGCAGCCATCTTCCTGTCTGCATATATACAGATTGTTGTGTAAACTGCTGAACAGAAGAGGGGGGAGGGAGGAGAAGTCAAACAATTGTAGTTATCTGATTGTTGGCTGTCCATTCTTCTACAGGTGGAACTGCATCGTCACCACGCATGGTCCTCCGCCCATGGCCGGCCACTCCTCCTGCGTTATTGGGGACAAGATGATTGTTTTCGGGGGCTCACTTGGGTCTCGGCAGATGTGAGTTCGCTCTACTTGTTCTCTTCTGTAAAGGTGCTCATTGATGTCCCCCCCCATACGTCCCCAGGATTGCTGTCTGTCCTTCTCTGTGGGCTGTCTGTCCTCTCAGCGGTCTCACCGGCAGAGAAGACGACATGTACTGCCCTGTTCTATGTTGGTGTAGCAGGTTGTGATCTCTATCTCCTCATCTAGATGTATCAGAATGTGTTCTAATGACATGCGTCTCTTTCACAGGAGCAATGACGTCTGGGTTCTGGATATGGAGCAATGGTCATGGTCCAAGCCAGCTATTTCTGGGCCGTGTCCTTTTCCCCGAGGGGGACAATCTCAGGTATAAGTCTCTCATCTTATGACCTCTGCAGGTCTCGGCATATTATGCTGCTGCCTTGGCCACAGTAGGCTTGTTTGGCTGCGTGGAGGGAGGAGGTGTAGGTGTGGAAGGCAGATTTGTAGCGGGTGAAGGCTTGTTGGGATTTGGTTCTGCGCCATAGTCGCTCCAGGGCACGACTTTGTCGTTGGAGGGTTTTGGTGTGATCAGTCTGCCAGGGCTGGAGCTGTCGGGGTCTGATGTTGCATGTGGTTAACCTCTTGCAGTCCACCTGCTGTTTATAAACGGCAGGACGGTGGCGGTCCAGGGTCGGGTTGCCGTTCATAAACGGCACCCGCCTTTTCTAGCTGTGCGCGCTCCCTGGGAGCGCGCACCACCGCGATCCGGTGCCCGCTGTGTCCTCCGGACACAGTGAAACACCGATCGTCGGACGGGACCTCTGTACGAGGTCCCGATCATGTGATCACTGATTGGCGAATCAGTGATCACATGCAAAGTAGTAAGCAAGATGTCACTTGTGACATCATTGCTTACTATGTGTGAAATCTGTGAATGATCACAGAGGTCACATGGTACAAGGCTATTCACAACAGTCTTGTACCATGTGACAAGCTGTGACCACTCACAGCTCACTCAGTAATTCTCAATGACTGCAAGAATGCAGACTGAGAGAAAGAGAAATGATTGCTTTTACATCCTATATGGGTGTAAAAGCAATCAGTGTAAAAAAAAAAAAAAAAAAAAAATCTTCATCACCCCCCACAAGTAGTACAGTGTCACCATGGTGACACTGTACTGCTAGGGTGACAGTATGTAGAAAAAAAAATTAAAATAAAAAATAATAATATAAAAAAAAAATAAAATGTAAAAAAAATGTTTAAAAATTATAATTTTTGGTTATAAACTAATTTGGATTTTTTTTTTTTTCTACTAAAAAAATAACGGAATAAATTTTGGCCAAGATTTATGATGAAATATTATTTATTTGCAAAATGTTATTTAAAAAAAACACTTTTTTTCAAAATTTTTGGACTTTTTCATTTACATAGTAAAAAAAAATAAAAATCCCAGCGGTGAATAAATACCACCAAAATAAAGCTTTATCTGTCTCAAAAAAATGGTAAAAAATTCATATGGGTACAGTATTGCATGACCGCGCAATTGTCATTCAAAGTGTGATAGCGCTGAAAGCTAAAAATTGCCCTGGACAGGAAGGGGTAAAAGTGTCCGGACAGGAAGTGGTTAAAGGCGCTAGTAAATCAAGGGCTGCTGACATCGCGTTGTTGTAGGCAGTCATAGCCAAGTCGGGGCAGTACAGGGGGAGGATGCTGTCATGGAGTTGATCAGCTGCAGAGTGGAGGGGGGCAGGGTTAAGGTTGCGGAGGTTACGGCTGGTAGTAGTGTGACATTTGGAGGGGTAGGCGTTGGAGGACGAGGAGATAGAGAAGGTAATCAGGTTGTGGTCAGAGAGAGGGAAGGGGGTGTTAGGTTGTGGGGGAGCGCAGCGGTTGGAGAAGACAAGATCAAGGATATTGCCGTCGGAGTGGGTGGTGGATTGTATGCACTGTGCAAAGGAGGAGGTTATGTGCTGTTCTGCATGAGAGACTCCACTAAAAAAAAAAAAGAATTCTGAACTTCTTAAACTTTTTTTGCTTTCTCTTCCTGCCTCCCACAGACCCTTCTGTTGTGTCGTGACTCTCAGCTCTTCGTGTTCACACTTACATTTTATTCCTTCGTCTGTCCTAACGGGTTTCTCTTCCTCCTCATAGATTGTTATTGACAACGAGACCATTCTCATCCTGGGCGGCTGCGGAGGACCCAATGCTGTGAGTAGATGATGTGCCGGTGCACTTCTCCTTCCCACTCCCCCCCCCCCATTGTGGGATAAAAAACTCGGGGATCCCATGCCATGCGTGGAATGACTTACTAAAACTGGAGCACTCAGAATCTGGTGCCGCGCTGTGCATGGGAGCCAATCAGCTTCTAACTTCAGCTTGTTCAGTGAAGCTTTGACAATGAAACTTGGAAGCTGATTGGTTTCTATGCAGAGCTGCACCAGATTTTGCACCCTCCAGTTTTAGTAAATCTCCCCCAATGCCTGAGGATTATTTTACTCCCTATTGCTCCCTTCTTTGTACAGCCATCTGTCTGCTTGGCGTGGCTCTCGTCCTTTGCTGCGTACATTATTATTATTATTATACAGTATTTATAAAGCGCCGATAGTTGGCTCAGCGCTGTACATTACAAAGGGGGACAGAACATGTGACAGAACAATACCAATACAATGCAAAACATGAGGGGATCGAGGGCCCTGCTCTTTGGAGCTTACAATCTAGGAGGAGAATACCAGCATCTGACTGGTTACACCAAAATGACAAGAGGACCTGTTATCAAGTGTTAAATCATTGGGCTTCCTCTAGTGCCCATAGCGGTTACCAGAGTGACTGTTCTACTGCAGAGAGTACATTGACCTTAGTGGGAGATGCCGGACATTAGAGGGGGAAGTAGTGAGCCAATCTTTAAACCAGAGGTGTTGTCGTCTTCTGTGAGCTCCGTCTTGTCATCATTTTAGCTGCCCAACCACGCTATGTACTACCAAGAGTAGTGACCTGAGTTGCACCGATATCCATGCCGATGCTAAGCTTTTGCACAAGTAGTTATAGTTAAAGGAACATAAATAAGTGAAGACCACCATAAACAGCTAATGAGATGCAATTCAATCCCCAAAATTGTGTGAAATATAAAACAATGGAAAATTCATAAATAAATATAAATAATACATAAAACAATAAAAATAAACATATATAATAAACAACACACTTCCAGCAAACCGTGTAAAAGTGAAAAAATATCAGTTCATAATATAAAGTCCAAATCTTTCTTTCAAAGAGTGTCCACCACAACCGTGATCTCCGATGTGCTCAACTCATCAAAGTGCGAACTCACCAGATGCTGGTGATTAATCCGCATTAAATCCGATCCCAATAGATGTGGAGATTCATTAAAGCAGATCGGCTCAGATGTAATATTGGTCACTCATTCCTTTATTTTGAATTGATTTAAAATAGCGGCTCCAGTCTCAGTTTGAGTTGTATTATGTGTTTGATATAAAGTATCTCACATATTTTGCGGTGATATAGGCTATATATATTTTTTAGCTTCGATACATAATTTTTGATTAGTTACATAGTCTGGTTGAAAAAAGACAAAAGTCCATCCAGTTCAGTCATAAAAAAAAAGAAGTTATAATCCTCCACCCACAGTTGATCCAGAGGAAGGCAAAAAAAAAACCCAGCAAAAGCACGATCCAACTTGCTCCTACAGGGAAAAAATTCCTTCCTGATCCCCCGAGAGGCAATTGGATATTCCCTGGATCAACGTTCCCTATAAATGTTATATTCTGTGTATCCAAGAAAGGATCCAGGACTTTCCTACAGCAATCCACTGAGCTGGCCACACCCAACTCTGGAGGGAGTCTATTCCACATTCTCACAGCTCTTACTGTGAAGAAACCTTTCCGTGTTTGGAGGTTACATTTCTTTTCCTCCAGACGTGAAGAGCGCCCCCTTGTGCAAATGCCCCAGTACTTAGAACCGATACGTTTTGCGTTGTGATTTTCAGCCCGTACAAAATGATCGGGCTCCAATCGCATTGCGAAGAATAGCATGCAATTTGAAGAGGAATGCAGTGCACTTTCTGTCGGAATTGCCTGCGGTTTCTCGTACTGCTCCTGTGTGAACCCGAGCTTGTCATAGTGACTTCACCCTGGATTCACACAGCAGCGGTGAGGAAAATCGTTTGCAATTTGGACAGGAATTGCGCCACATTCCTGTTTGCACCGCATAGAATCGCATGCGATTTGATTTGAGGCCATTCCTTTTGTATGAACTCTAATCACCCCACAAAGGTATTGGGAATTGGTATCGGCGAGTACTTGAGTGCAAGTGTCGGTAACTCGTACTCGCCGGTAAAAAAAATGGGTATCAGCGCATCCCTAGTAGTGACAGTCACTTCTGCAGCCAAGATCTGCCACTACAGGCTGTGTAGGGGCTCCTAACATCAGGAGAGGAGCATTCAGTAGAATAGGGTCAAGTGTAACCAAACCTAAAATGATAAAAGTCTTGTATTCCGGTCTCAGGGTGACAGTGTTGTCCATGCAGGAGCAGCGTTGTCACTCTAGGATGCATGCTCCAGGCAGACTCCAAGTTGACATCAATGCGTCAGCAGTCGCTGCTTGGAGTCCACAGGTAGTGCATTGGCTTGTGGTACCTCAACATTTTCAGAGAGGGTCACGCTCCTGTAGGTGCTGCGTGGGGGAGGGGAGTGTTAGATGGGCATGGCACTGGGCTTCTACCACCATTACAACAGGTATTAAAGATGTTCGCTAATGATGGTGTCCAGCATGCTAGGGAAAGCTGTTGTTGGGTTTTAGTTATATTGTTCTTGCTCGGGGCACAGGTTCTTAGTGTTGGGGGCTCAGCGTATTGGGCATAAGTGTTCTGGTTAGGCCAATAAAACGTGTTCTGAAATGTGCTCCAAAATCATGCCAGATAATCGTAGTTTTTGGATAGCTGTGTATAATATCTCTTCCTATGGCAGCTCTTTAAGGATGCCTGGCTTCTCCATATGGACACAACCCCTTGGACCTGGCAGCAGCTGAAGGTGGAGAATGAAGAGCATGGAGCGCCGGAGCTGTGGTGTCACCCGGCCTGTAGGGTGAGTCCTAGATGGGGGGGCCTGTGTAATGTACAAACCTGCGGCACGAGTTCCAGCACAGTCATTAATCATGGAAATGCCGTTCTTTGTTGGGGGTTTATCGCTGGACGAAAATATTACAAGTCTCTTTTTTTTTGTTCTCGTTACAGCGAAATGTTTTTGCAAAATGAAAGTTGATGTACAATGCTTCTTATAGCCAGTACATTGGCCGGAAATGTGTAGAATCCCTGCCCAGGCGTAACCCCGCCCACCACGCCTCAGTTGTGTGCTGGTGTCTGTAGGTGATGGACGTACTTACCTTGTGCGTCTTTGAAGACCTTTTTCTGGGCTCTCTTCCCATTACTCCTGACATTAACGACCTTGATGCAGTCCTCTGCTGAGTGCAGCTCGAGATCCTACTGGTATTGGGACGAATGTCAGGGGTCCTTGTTCTACCAATGTACCGGACTTCCAAGACCAGGTCGTCTCTGGAATGATGGATATCCAATTGGATGAGTGATTCCGGAATCTCCTCCCTCCCAATGAATTACCTGCCTGTTGGGCTGGGGAGGTGTTCTGGAGAATCTCGCGGTTTAGGGTACTTGCTCTTCCCAGGCTGAAGAGCAGAGATGGTTATTGCACCTCCCCGAATGTAACGGGGCATCCAGTCTTTCCTTCTAGGTGTCTGTCAGTCGTGGGAGTTTGAAAAGCACCAGGTAGGCTAGCAAGCCCTCCTCCGCATGCATCACCCGCGTGCTGTAGAGGCGCCTATAGTAGGAGGCAAAGCTGTCAATGAAATGGGGATCTGCGAGGACTTCACCGTCAGCGGGTACAATTCTATGAATTGTGACAGAAGTAAAGTGTTCCCTAGTCAGCCACGCTACCAACTTCCTGTTCTTTTACCCCTGCTGAAAAATCTTTTAAGATTGATAGGTTTTAGTTGTAGCGGTACGAAGGAACATAACCTATTCAACCCTTTTGCTGCCAGAGCTGTTTTTGCATTTTTTTTTTTCACACGTTTAAAAAAAAAAAATAAATCACAAAAACCCCCAAGCCTTTTTTATTTTCTGAAAGCAGACACCCTAGAGAATAAAATAGTGGTAGTTCCAATTTTTTATGTCATACGAAATTACCGCAAATTTCAGTAAAATACAAACGAACACAAATGACCTACATTTTGGTAAAATATAAAAGACGAGGTTGCAGCGAGTAAGTAGATACCCAACATGTCAAACCTTACATTTGTGTGCGCCTGCTTGTGAAATGGTGACAAACTTCAGCAGCCGATATTTTCTATGGGCAATGCTTCAAAGACCCCCGGTGTCTCTTCTGGGCTCCACTGAATGTATTGCAATGCCGATCGCATTTCAATACACTTCTCTGGCTCCTCCTCTCTTCCCTCCACCCATGGGCATCCACCATGTTGAATACATAGCGGGAGTGTGTACATGATGGGGGGGGGCATAGTAACTGGGGTCTGTGGAAGCAATCGGGCAGAAGCACAGCTGCCCAACTGCTTCCACTTGACAGGAGTCTGCCTGTCGTCCGTTTTATACACAATCCTGGTAGCTGCAGCCACTGGATTCTGTGTAAACCCCCCCAACCCGCTATCAGGTCCACACAACAAATGGACCTGGCAGCGAAAAGGGTTAAGGGCTAGCTGTAGAGATGAGTATCGGCTTTGCAACTTGCCTATACACCAGCTCAGGAACCCCCCCCCCCCCCCCCCGCCCTCCCTCTTACTCAACAGCTTATCTTGGCCAGGCAGAGCGTACAGTCTTTCTTGGTGGGAATGTGCTCCTTGGTGGGAAGTTGCAGATCAGCATCTTTGAACTTCAGTGACTCGGTGGCTTTAATCTTGTTGCTCATTTGTACAAAAATCATTTTTCCTCTTTTCAAACTCCTGGCTGTTTTCTATGACATTGATGGGGGGGGTGTAGCAGTTGCTGAGTGATAGTCTTTGTGGTTGTTGCTGGAATGATTCATACTCCATTTTTAATCCTCTTGCGGTAACCAAGCTGCCTCTCTCTCTCCTGCAGGTTGGTCAATGCGTGGTGGTCTTCAGCCAAGCACCCAGCGGCCGTGCACCCCTCAGTCCAAGCTTGAACTCTCGACCGTCTCCGATCAGCGCCACGCCGCCTGGCCTGGCTCCAGAACCTCGTGAATACCGCTCGCACTCACCTGTTAGAGCGCCGGATGAGGCCCCCTGTGTGAACGGCCGTTGGGGAACCCTGAAGCCCCGGGCACAGAGGCAAGCTACCGGTGGATCACGGGAAGGCAGCCTGTCTCCTGTGCTTAATGGGGGGAGTGTCTCCCCAGCAGCATCTCTGGACATCCCCCTGCAGGTCATCTCACCCCCTGCCGCTGAGGGCAGTGACCACAAAGCTTCCCATCCGCTGTCTGCCCGAAGGGGATCTCTACCAGAGCAGAAGGAGCTGTGTCTCGGGGCGGTGGAATGCACATGGAAGCGGGGGGACTTAGATGTGGATACTATGGGTAGAAACCCTCCGGAGCAGATCAATGGAGTACACACTCCCCCTCACATCTCTTCCACCTTATCTGCCGCCATCTCACCAGGAGCACTTCGCCGGGGCCTCGAAGCTGTCCGAGCCCTTGCATCATCTTCTTCCCCCTCCTCTTCATCACATAGCGGGGGAGCTAACCCCGTCAGTCCTCCAACCCTCCCCTCCCCAGGTTCACCCAGCAGTGGAGCCGAAGCAGTATCTGCCCGTCCGGTCTCAGGCCAGGGCGACGGCCACTCCCTCCCGCCTATCGCCCGCCGCCTAGGACATCACCCGCCCCAGTCCCTCAACGTGGGGAAACCCTTATATCAAAGCATGAACTGCAAACCTATGCAGATGTACGCACTGGACATTCAAGACACCCGGGAACGGGGCGGGTAAAATGGAAGATTTTCAGCAACAGTTCTGTGGTGGGCCCTCCGGAAACCAGTTTACACACAGTGGTTCAGGGCCGAGGGGAGCTCATCATTTTTGGGGGTCTCATGGACAAAAAACAGAACGTCAAATATTACCCCCAAAACCAACGCCTTGTATTTTGTCCGAGCCAAAAGATAATATGGAAAACGGACTCTTGAACAGGAAACCTCCCCTCCCTCTCCCTGAATTCCTTTTGACCCGTTTTACACTACTTAACCCTTTTGTGGTTTTGTCCCAGGATTTCCGACATGAGCCGGTGTGATCTGTCCTGGAATAATAAAGCTTTGCAGAGGCCGACTTGTATGTCCATTCCATGAGCCAGTAAGATGGCAGCTTTGACTTTTACACCAGCCCTTTCAGGTTTTTCCAGGTCTTGTCCCCGATGTCCTGCAACCTTATTGCAAAGCTGTTGACTCAGCAAAGGCGGTAGCACTACCGACAAACTGCAAAACCGAGCAATAGAGCTTGCTTGGCTGGTTTGACTTTGAATCTTGCTATTCCTTCTGCTAGATCTCCCTTTTTATAAACCGTTTTGCCCTCACTCCCAGCAAGCCTGGTCTACTACTCTAGCTTCTCATGGTTATCAGGAGAGCGTATGAAGTTGTAGAGCAGGTGTGGTGGCTTCTGGGACCTTCATATGATGAAGAAAGTCTTGTCCTGTCAAGCACGCCAATTGTGTGGCCTTGTAGTCTCTCATTCACTAGAGGGCATTAGCAGGGAGGATTTAGAGCTGCGTTTCACTATTGGTCCAGGACTAGGTGGTATGTCCAGTCGCTATGCTCCCTTTAGTGCCTGACTGCCTCTGCGGGATAAAGGAATTGCTTTGTCCTATTAGGGACTGAAACCACAGACTGGAAGCAACCAGGTCCAGACACTAGAGGACACATGGTGACTGAAACCACAGATTGGAAGTGACCAGGTCCAGACACTAGAGGACACATGGTGACCGAAACCACAGATTGGAAGCGACCAGGTCCAGATACTAGAGGAACCATGGTGACTGAAACCACAGCTTGGAAGTGACCAGGTCCAGACACTAGAGAAAGTGTAGTGACTGAAACCACAGATTGGAAGCTTCTAGGTCTAGACAGTAGAGGCCACATGGTGACTGAAACCACAAATTGGAAGCGTCTAGGTCCAGACACTAGAGGAACCATGGTAACTGAAACCACAGATTGGAAGCGTCTAGGTCCAGACACTAGAGGAACCATGGTAACTGAAACCACAGATTGGAAGCATCTAGGTCCAGACACTAGAGGAACCATGGTAACTGAAACCACAGATTGGAAGCGTCTAGGTCCAGACACTAGAGGAACCATGGTAACCGAAACCACAGATTGGAAGCGACCAGGTCCAGACACTAGAGGAAATGTAGTGACTGAAACCACAGATTGGAAGCTTCTAGGTCTAGGCAGTAGAGGACACATGGTGACTGAAACCACAGATTGGAAGCTTCTAGGTCTAGGCAGTAGAGGACACAGTGACTGAAACCACAGATTGGAAGCTTCTAGGTCTAGGCAGTAGAGGACACATGGTGACTGAAACCACAGATTGGAAGCTTCTAGGTCTAGGCAGTAGAGGACACATGGTGACTGAAACCACAGATTGGAAGCTTCTAGGTGTAGACAGTAGAGGACACATGGTGACTGAAACCACAGATTGGAAGCTTCTAGGTGTAGACAGTAGAGGACACATGGTGACTGAAACCACAGATTGGAAGCGTCTAGGTCTAGACAGTAGAGGGTACATGGGAACTGAAACCACAGATTGGAAGCGACCAGGTCCAGACACTAGAGGAAACATGGTGACTGAAACCACAGATTGGAAGCGACCAGGTCCTTAGCCATTGGTTGTTTTGGAGAGTGCAGTGTCCTCCTTGGAGTGCAGAGTGCCAGCTAGCTCATAGTAAAGTTGGGATGTGTAATTCGGCGTGAAGTGTCAGTGGGTGTACTAAGTGACTCTGTGAGTGTAGCCAGGCAACAGCGGTGACCCTCGGGGATTACAGGGGGCGCTCTCGGATACTGAGGAGGTTGTGATGGTGGCCAAAGTTTAGGAAATGCCGATTTAGGCAGAAGTATGAAATATTTGGTGTTCTGCCATTTTTGGGGAGTGGTGTTTGCTGTCATCTGGTTGACTGGTATGGATCCCAATGGCAGTGTCAGCAGTTTGGGGAGGCAGGCCACAAACTATAAGAAGCAATACTGATGATGCAGAATAAGTACAGCGCACACATCTGAACTGTGTAATTCTTAAAGGCGAAGTCCACGTTTTACATAAATTGTCCCATGCAGAGAAGGGGCCCCAGTAGTTTAAAGTACCATTTAGAGAAATAATTGTTGTTCTGTCTCTCCAATCTCAGCATTGATAGTGTGATCTCTGTACCTTACAGTTGTGGTGAGATAGGGATAACTCCAATCTTAGTTGAATAACACAAGCAGTGCCTCAATCCAGAGAATCTTACAAACTGAAATCTTATGAACATCGAATAGGTCAAAAGATCATAATGTGATCTTCTTCATGACAAGAAGCTAGAGCGGCAATGCCTTACTGGGAAAAGGGGTGGGGCTATGTATCCAGCATTCCCTAAACCAAAGGAAAGGGAGGAGCAGAGACAAAATACAGAGAACACTTAAAGGCATATGACAGTCACGTGAAACATGCAATTTCCTTACCCGTGACCCATGAAGCCGAAGTACTCCCAATATTTACATTGTGGAGAGGGCAGTCATTAAATGCTGAGCACCCACCCCCAGTATTGCAGGAGTGATTGCACATCAAATCTACATAGTTAGTCTGGCTGAAAAAAAGACAAAAGTCCATCCAGTTCAACCCTTGCAAAAAAAAAAAAAAAAGTTATAATCCTCCACCCACAGTTGATCCAGAGGAAGACAAAAAAAACCCAGCAAAGCACGATCCAATCTGCTCCTGCAGGGGAAAAAAAAAAAAATCCTTCTTGATCCCCTGAGAGGCAATCGGATATTTCCTGGATCTACTTTCCCTATAAATGTTATATCCAGTTATATTCTGTGTATCCAAGAAAGAATCCAGGACTTTCCTACAGCAATCCACTGAGCTGGCCACACCCAACTCTGGAGGGAGTCTATTCCACATTTTCACAGCTCTTACTGTGAAGAAACCTTTCCGTGTTTGGAGATTACATTTCTTTTCCTCCAGACATAAGAGTGTGCCCCCTTGTCCTCTGTAAGCTGCGCAGTGAGCTCTTCCCTGCTACAGCAAACACTCCTTAGTCTCACATCCCCACCAGGATTCACAGTCCTGCTGTGGCCCCATTTCCATCACTCTGGGCTACAACAAAATGGCCGTCAAGGCTCCCCTGTGAGGATAGGTAAAGAGATTATCCTTTTTAGTCTTACACTGTGGCCCCTCAGCCACCCTTTTCATTTTAACCTACTAGCCCCCCTTACCTGCATGGGTCAGTTTATGTAAAAGGTGAACTTGGCCTTAAGGCTACAAGTCTTTGAATCCTTTATAGGGGAACGCCGAGCTCCTGAGCCTCCAGTGTTCTTCTGGAACGGTGGATTTTGGTTTTGGCAGACCTGAGTATTAAGCTAGCAATATACAGGGGGGGGGGGGCGGCGTTCTCTGTTCTTCGCAGCTATGCCAGTCCGGGCGCTGGAATATTTATTAAAGTTTCTTTCTACATAAAGACTATTTGTGTCATGACGTCTCTTCATTTGTGGACAAAGTATAACATTGCACCCTTGGCTTAGGCTGTAGACGCTGTGGAAGGAGATTTAGGAATCATCCCGGAATTGTTCGGGCTGCAGTGATGCCGTTTGCTTGTGGAGCAGCCATCTTGGGCTGGGGGGGGGGGAGGGAGTGGGGGCAAAGTATGTTTTGGGGAACATAAACGCCTCTCCAGACACAAAAAAGCTGCTCGTGTCTTACAGTGCCGGAGTCACCCCCACACCGATGGACACCATTAAACTGCGATGAGATAATGTTTCACACGTTCTGGCTCTGCGTCTTATTTCTGGGGGACAATGGGGTTTGCTGTATGGGGGGGTCAGTCCATCCGGAGAAACATCCCTTTATATTGGGTCTTATTTCTGGGGGATGATGGGGGGCAGATTGCCCCCGTCCTGGTGAGACAGGACGGGGTAGGTTTTTTTTTTTTTTCTGCTTTAATAAAGTAGAAATAAAGACTTCTTCGTTTTGGATGGATTAATGGAGGGTTATGACTCCTGGCAGTTTGTTTGCCATCTGTGTCTCCATGGGGGAGATTTCCCTTCACTTCCTCTCCCATCGCCAAACAGGAAATGAGAGCAAATCTCTGCAAATTGAGGTAATCCATCTGATCACCAGAACTAGTGTCCCCAGTGGAAGATGACACCCCTCCCCCTCCATCCAATACTGACAGAGGCTCTCCCCCCCAACACTGGCAGGGGCTCTCAACCCTCCCCCCAACACTAAAGAAAATAAAAGTTGTCCCCCCCCATTCTACTGCAACTCACTGCTCATTATTTTATGTATTTCTGCGACTTTGCAGCTTCTATCTTCCCTCTCTGCACACAGGAAAGGGGAGGAGTTAAGCCTAATTATTATCCAGCCTCATAAATAATAACCCGAGTGGGCGTGGTCCTGACTGCGCTCCCCCTGAGCTGTTCATGTGATTTCCTGTACTTTATCTGACGTCATCCGTCTGCGACCAACCCGGAAGTGCTGCTAGGAGACGCCATGCATCGCTCCCCTTTCCCCAAAGCTGGGAGTCTGATCGTCCCGGACTGGCAGCAAAGCGAAGAGGGAAGAGACTATCTGAGCTGCATCCTACGGAAGAGGAAGCGGCGGCTGTTCGGTGAGTCACGTCTCTGCGAAAATACCGACCGAACCGGACATATCCACAGCGCCACCTACCGTCTTCACTGTCATTACACATCTGTATCCACAGCGCCACCTGCCGGCCGCTCTGCTATCATTACACCTCTGTATATACATAGCGCCACCTGCCGGCTGGTCTGCTATCATTACACCTTTGTATAAACACAGCGACACCTGGCGACCGCTCCGCTGTCATTACACCTCTGTATATCCACAGCGACACCTGCCGGCCGCCCGCTGACATTACACCTCTGTGTATCCACAGCGACACCTGCCGACCGCTCCGCTGTCATTTCACC